TGTGGGTTCACCCTTTGTATCTGCTGATTGTGGACCTTGCTGGATTTTGCTCTGATGTTGTCTGAAGCTGGCCACTTGATGTGCTGGCCCCAGACCTCCTGGGAGTTTCTCTGGTGCAAGCCAAGTCACTGTCCCTGCCTGGCTCTCAGCAATTTGTCTGAAGCTCTGCAGGGCAGAGCCCCAAGTAGTCCAGTGGGCGGGGCCTCCAGAGACTGGGTCTTCCTCGGGTCTTGCACCTTGAATGTCCCTGCCCTGAGCTGCTCTCCCTTCCCCCAATGGAACTGTACTCTGTGGGAATATCGAGGACTTGCACAAGGGGCTTACCCTCTCTGCATCTCCTCCTGTCTTTCCTCTGTGTTCTCTGCTCTCAATATTTTAGATCAGCGACTCTTTAACTGATTTTTGAACTGATTTCTCTGCAGTTCAGCTGCAATCTGCTCTGGGGTTGGGAGCAAGTGGATGGAGCTTCCAGCTACTCTGCAACAACCTTTTGTTATCAGGAAAACATTTAAAACTGTTCTCACCTATTAGGAGATCAGAATACAATGTGATAAATAGCACATTTTATATTCCTTTATTTAGAGACTGCTTATGCATACATTCTAACCATGGTACCACATTCATTGTCACTGAGTTCTGTAAGAACAGTCATCTCATTTCATTTACTTGTGAGTTAAAATTTCTCAAAACAGTGTATTGTATATTAGTGCACACTAAATAAATGCTATTAGAGCTGATATTACTGGTTGAAAAATAAAAACAGTTTCCTAAAGATAGCTATTATAATTGCAGAATTATATTAGCCATAGCTTAAGATTTCTGCACTCTCTCTCTTTCTCTCTCTCTTCCCTCTCTCCCTCCCTTCTTCTCTCTCTGGTAATCAATAAAAGAATAAACAAAATATATATATATATGCCTGAATGGTAAGGTAATAGAGTGCCAGTGGTGTTTGCACTAGAGGATAATGAAGCAAACAGAGAAGGACTAGAGGAAAGGGAGGTCGAGGGGGAGTTTAGCTCACCCCTGATGATAGCTCACCCCATAGCTCACCATCATAGAGAGAGAATGAGTACAAGTGCCCTCTTTTACATTGAGTGAAAAGTTGCTGCAGTAAATATGATCTTCAGTGGCCCAGTAGTTGAATCTAGAGAACTGAGTACTATAATGACTCTTAGAGCAAAACTCAGAGTAAAACTCATCAGCTCAATTAAATGACCCTGGTTGGTCTTATTGGGTTGACAAATTGAAGAGCAAACATTTTTAGGACAACCAAAAACAAGACAAGAAAATATGGAGTATTCTTGATGCTTCATTTAATGAAAATGTCTCCATTTACTGTGGAAGTCCATGAAAAGTACTGTTTGCCTAAGATTAGAGGATTCTAGATAAATGAAAGAGTTTGATATTAGATGGATTTCGGGCTTTAGGCTTTTAAAAGTATCTTAGTTGTGTAAGCAACTTTTTCATGCTAAACTTGTGTTTTTGAGTTTGCTAAAGGGTTCTGGAAAAGTTAGAATAATTTTGTAGGCGAAATGTAAATGTAGGTTGCACTGAAAAGACATAAAAATAAGATTCTCAAATTTTTGTTTTTCCTTCCTTAAAAACCTTCATGGGCTCATTTGTATTATGCTAAATACTAGAAATTTGGGCAGATTTTAAAATTATATGTATTGCTCTTGATATGCTACTAAATGTGACAAGTGTCACAGGATATAAGAATTCTTCCCTCTGTAGGCCTGGCCTTTAAATTGACCACTTATCTTATATTTCCATTAAATTACCTTTCTGCAAAAAACTTAAAAACATTTTCAAAATAAAAATTGATTTTGTTCACATTATTTATAGTCAATGAACTTAATACCTGACACCACAATTTTTAAGTATTATCACTTTCACTAAGGAAAAATAAGTTACTCAGTACTCTTACTTCTCTGTCATTTGAACCTTTATAATACTTTACACTGGACACTCAAACCTGAAACAGAAATTAAAAAAGGAAACAAAACTCTGATATAATACACCAGAGGGCGGGCGCTGTATTCTAGTTCTTACTCTGCATTTCCGTTCAACAGATGTGAGCGTGCTTGTGGAATGCTAGGCAGAAGGCACAGTTCTTGCTCTATCTTGGGGAAGCTCTCCATCCAGGTAACGAGTCTGGTTTTTAAAAAAACCATTTCAGAAGGTTAAGTATTTAGAAGGCTATATATTTCATTATTTAAACATTTTAGAGCTCTTTAAAAATTGCCTTTAAAGTCTGTGCTGTGTTCTTGTTTTATGTTCTCAATGGAAACATAGCTTTTGTCCTTTGAAAACAAATGTAATTTTTAGAGACAATCTAAAGTTATTTGGCACTATGGAGATAAATAAGGTAGGTTATCAAACCAAGCAGTGCTGGTTATAGTTTTCATTTTTTAAATTAAATTCTTAATTTGCTAACCTTGTATAACACAGTAGAGAATAGTATCTAATTGGGTATGCCTTGTGTAGACTCTAAACTATCTGAGAACCATCATTAACACTTTTTCCTGGCCACCCCTCTGCAAGTCCTAGTATATCTATAACATATAATTCATAATAATAAATACTCATGAAATCACCTCCCAGCTATAAAACTACAGCATTGATAGTAACTTAAATTTGCCAGAGTTTTTCTGTCCTATCAAGTCCTTAGGTAACCAGTCTTCATTATTTGTTTGATTTCTTTTTTATATATATTTATCACATAATTATGTGTCCTAAAAATTATGTTGTAGCTTTAACTGTTGTGACTTTATAAAAAGAGTATTCATGCTATATTTGATTTTTTGGACTTTTTTTTTTTACCTTGGTATTACAGTAAACCCTCGATTTTGCGGACCTCAGTTTAACAAACTTCAGATTTAATGAACAAAATTCCTGGCTCATATGTCATATGTGAAAATTAACACCCTGTTAATTTTAAAATGCTTTTAACCAAGATTTGCTTACAATTAAATTGACAGGTTGTTTTTTGTTATTAATTCACTGTTATCTTTAACAAATTTTAACAAATAGGCCATATCTTGGAAAAAAACACTAGAAATTTTGCCAACATAAATAAATATTACATATCTACAATGATAGTCTACATATTTAAATCCAACAGTCACCGCTCAAAAACAATGTTCAGTGAACGATTAGCACGTATGCATCATGGGTGGTAATTAGTTCTATTGTAGCATGGCGTAACTTTATACAGCAGTTTTAACGTGTGCCAGCTGATGTTCCGACGTGCTAAGCCATGCCCAGCCGTGTGCATTTGTTTACTAGTGCTGACTGGTGAATGCATGCATTTACTAGACCTACTCAGCATAAACTTAAAATTACTATACTACATACAGAAAACTTTTCTGTGAAATTAAACTTTTCATGCATAGTTAATTTTAATTACACAAATGTGTCTACATAAGAAAGACAGGTAGCCCTGACCAGTTTGGCTCAGTGGATAGAGCGCCGGCCTGCAGACTCAAGGGTCCCGGGTTCGATTCCGGTCAAGGGCATGTACTTTGGTTGCGGGCACATACCCAGCAGGGAGTGTGCAGGAGGCAGCTGATTGATGTTTCTCTCTCATCGATGTTTCTGACTATCCTTCTCCCTTCCTCTCTGTGGAAAATCAGTAAAATATATTTTTTAAAAAAAAAAAAAAGAAGAAAGACAAGTAAACTAACTAATTTGTCAACTTTTTGACATATGCATTCAGCAAACCTACTTTATTATATAACAGACACCCCCTCGCCCGAAATGGCCCGTTATATCGAGATTTTACTGAATATTGCTATGATTCATCCATTTTGTCGTTAGCTGAGGATTATTTATTATGAGTGCTATGTAATATTCCATTCTATAACCACAATTTATTTGTCCATCTCACTGTTGATGGGCACTTGAGTTGTTCCAGGTTTTGCTCTGACAAATAGTGATGTCACGAACATTCTTATACCTATGCCCTAGTATACAACTGCAGCCACTTCCAACCAGTAGTAAAGCAAGTTCAATTAATTTCATTTTCCTCTAACATATCTACACTAAGAATGGAGTCATTCTACTGGAGTTTTCTACACTCCAAAAGGATTTAAGCAAAAATTCATGAAGGATATTTTCAGAATGATGAATTCAATTTATTCATTTCTTACTGACAGACTAAACTCTAGGGAGCCATAATTATTTCTGGTCCTTTGAACATTTGTATGGTTATTTCACGTTGGCACCTGTTGCCAATATAACCAAGAAATAATAATTTAGTATACAATGATGTGTAGAAATAAGTAGCTATCAGACGCATATGGCTAGATAAGGCTGACTGTCTTGGTTCCCTGAGATACTTCAGGTTAGGATAGAACTCTTTCTCTTTCTAGTACACCTTGTTATGCAATCATACTGAAATCTAGAATAATACATATTTTCTTAGGCTGCCATTATTCATTAACTTAGAAGATCTACCACTTATATAGAATGTGGGAATATAAAGACCAGTGAATTCTGTTCTATTCATGCAAGCAGCTCACGCTCCAACCAATTTGACAAACCTAAGGATATTGCTGAAATTCTCCACAACCTTAACTCAAAAGAAGCCTCCAGTTTATTCAGTTAATACCTATTCAGTATGTATGAGTGTCCAGCATTGTACAAACCTCTATTCTTTTACCATAAATACAGATTAAGGCTTTTTTTTTTCCTAAGCAAAAGTCTAGTTTTAGAATAATTAAAAATGCAGTCTGGACTAACTTGAATTTACATGTTTATTTACTCTATGTATTTAGGACTAAGAAATATTAAGAAAAAGCCACCACCCCAGATATAGGTTACCAAAAGTTCAGAGAGCCATGAGAAATTAGTCGACATAAAAAAACATGAAAGTGGCAGTGATTTGAAATCAAAATACGGTTTTCTTCCTTGCACTTATCATGTTTCTATTTGAACATAAATTTCTTGGAAAGCAGGATATGCGTTCAGGTTCTAGGAAGATGGCTGTCTATCTTGATGATCTGGTCATCTGTCTTCCATTTATAGGTACACGGTGGGATCACTCCGGTCACAGTTTTCAATGTGTATGTGGGATTGTATGCCAGGATAAACTTTCTGCAAGGGCAACAGAATTCCCAGTTTTTCTCCCTTCTTGATAGAACCTTTATATTTAATTGGCTTAATGTAGAACATTTTAATACAGAAACCTAAAAGAAAAGAAGTAAAATTATTCATTATCTGGGTTTTAATAGCCTAGAATCAGAAATTTTAAAAAATAACAAATAACTCACACAAAAAAAAACATAAAAAGAAAAGAGAGTTGATTGAATTCAATGGGGGAGTAGAAGGAAATGACAAAATCATACCAGAAATAAAGACAAAAATTGCAAGATGCCCTAGGAAGAATAAATTTAAATGACAATGTAATAAAAGCATTAAACAATAGCAGGAAAACACTAGATAACTAAGAATATTGACCTGGAATACTGTTAACTCTAAGGCATATTCTAATTAAACTATTAGACTTTAAAGACAAGGAAAAATGGAAAGAACTGGCACAAGAATACAAATCTTTCTAAATACCAAAAGAAAAAATTTTAAAGACCCACCATATAGAGAAATTGAGTTAATATAATACCATAATTATAATGTAATATGACAATGTTATATCTATAAATGTTAACTCATCTATTAAACAGAATTTTCTATTGACTTGGAAAGGAAAACCCTACTCTATGCTGTATAGAAAAGCAATCATTGTAAAAGGCTAAAAGTTAAGGAATGGACAGCTATTTGCCAAGAAAATGGAAACAAAAAGAAAAGCAAGGGTTATGATCATGTTATGAGAGTGGAATTCAGGCCCAAAGCATTGAAACAAGACAAAGGAGGACAATTTATAATGCGAAGTCCAATGATGACACAATAGTGACAACTGTCCATGTGCTAAATAACATAGAAACCATCTGTATAAAACAGACTTCAGGAGATGCAAGGAGAAAAAATGGAAACCCACTAGTAATAGAAGACTTCCACACATTTATATCATTAAAAACAAGTCAAGGGGACAGAAAACATCAGTAAGGCTATAGAATTATGTCATACAACATGATAGCCACTAGCCACATGTGGGTAGTTAGCATTTGAAATGCAGCTAATCTGAATTAGATGTGCTCTAAGTACAAGGTACATACTGGATTTTGAAGATAGTACCCCCCAAAAGGTAAAATATTAATAATATTTATATTAATTGCATTTTGAAATAAAAATATTCTGGAGATACTGGGTTAAATAAAGTATATTATTAAATTAATTTCACCTCTTAACTTTATGTGACTCAATTTAAATTTTAAATTTAAATTTTACTTGGGTGGTTTTTATTATATTCCTTTTGGATAGTACTGCCATAGAAGATCTAGACAAAATCAATAAGGTGTGTCTTATGTATATATGAATACTAGAGGCCTGGTGCACGAAATTCGTGTACGGGGGGAGGTCCCTCAGCCCGGCCTGTGCCCTCTCGCAGTCCAGGACCCCTCGCTCCTTACCACCTGCCTGCTCGCTGCTCCTTACTGTTCAGCTCGCTGCTCCTTAGCACTGCTGCGGAGGTGGGAGAGGCTCCCGCCACCACCGCTGCGCTCGCCAGCCATGAGCCCAGCTTCTGGCTGAATGGCACTCCCCCTGTGGTAGCGCACTGACCACCAGGGGCAGCTCCTGCATTGAGCATCTGCCCCCTGATGGTCAGTGCACATCATAGCGACTGGTCGTTCTGGTTGTTCCACTGTAATGGTCACTTAGGCTTTTGTTATATAGAAGTGTAAGACCTCCACACTGAGAACCAATACAACAACTGCTAATACCGCAATGCAAGAAGACCTACATACATGGAGGATATAACATGTTCATTGATTGGAGGATTAATTACTTTCAAGATAGAAGTTCTTCTCAATATAACCTATATAATCAGTGAAAATCCAATCAAAGTCCCAACAGGCTTTTAGTGGAAATTGACAAACTGATTTTACAATTTGGAAATGCAAATAACCAAGAATTGCCAAGACAGCCTGAAAGAAGAACAAAGTTGGAAGATTTATACTATGAGATATCATTATGTATTTTAAAGCTATAGCAGTTAATTCAGTGTATTATTTGTGGAAGATTGACAAATGACTGATGAAACACAATAGAAAGACCCACAGAAACTGACCCACATATATTCAGACCCTGATTTATGACAAAAGATCTTGAAGTGTAGTAGGGGGAAAAATGATCATATCAAACTAATGGTACTGAGTTAATTAGATATCAATATGGAGAAAAATCTTGATCCCTAACTCATTCCTTACACAATCCCAGATGGATTATAAACCTAAATATGAAATATGAAGCTTATAGATGAAAACATAGGGAGACTATCTTAATGACTTCAGGGTAGGAAAATGTATCTTAAATAGGTAAAAAATGTTAACAATAAAGGAAAATAATACTAAATTGGGCTGCATTAAAAATATGAATTTTTATTTATTGAAAGAAGCAGTAAGAAAGTGAAAAACAACCCATAAAGTGGGAGAGGATATTTGCAATACATGTATCTGGCAAAGGACTTGTATCCAGAATATACAAAAAACTCCTACAGACCAATAAGGAAAAGACAATTAAGAAAGACAGGGAAAAATACTTGAATAGGCACTTCACAAAAGGCAATATTGATGTTATCAATAAATATGAAAAATGCTCAATTTTATTAGCCATTAGGAAAATGCAAATTAAAGCTAAATAAGATATCACTACATACTCGTCAGAATGGCTGAAATGAGAAAGGTAGATAAATAACACCAAGTATTGTGTGTGAAGCCACGGGAACTTTCATATACCCTTGTTTGGAGTGTAAGTTGGTACTACTTTGGGAAACTGCTAGTATCTACAAAAGCTGAAGATACACATATACCAAGTGACCCAGCACTTCCTCTACCACAGTATCCTGCCAGTTGCTGAGTATATTAATTCTAATTATGTAACTGGGGAAATTATCCCAGGGTGGATTTGTGGATGCACTGGGCCCATTATAAAATGGACCCTAGTGAAAAGTACATTGATTATCTGACCTTACAAGTCCCTAGTCTGACTGATGGACCACAGTGGCCTTTTGAGTCTCTAAAGAATTAGTATCAGTTTTAAGTAAGTCCAATAATCTCTGAAAAGCCTAGTTATTTCTTCTTCCCCAATGTACATTCTGCTAAATAGCCACAGGTCCCTTTGGGAATGGTTAGAAGTAAGGTTTACAGTATAAATTTTTGGCTGTGTGACAGAGCCCTTCCTCAAAGAAACTCAGCCTCCCTTTTACTCAAGGGGCTCTGGGACTGTGAGCTCAAGTGTACAGGGAATTGGGGTGGGGTGGATTTTGACCCATTGTTGTGATGATTGAAGTCAGAATTCTGTTCATCAGACCTGGAGTGCTTCCATTTATCCAAATCAAGTAAGGCTTTAGTAGGCTGCCCACCTATTTCATTCTAGGGTCTCCATGATTAACTAGACAAGGCCTCAGATTTCCGGGCTTCAGACGAATATGATTACTGCTTCAGCTCTGCTGCCTGTTAGGTAATCATGCCAACCTTGGCCTTGACTACTAAGTGGACTTCATTCAATGGCAGCAGTTTCTCTTGTCATTCAAGCCTAAGCCTCTGTATAGTTCCTCGAGGACATGGGCTCCCTCACAAAATGCTTCTTACTTGGTGAAGGGATTGTCCTCCGGACTCACTTCCAGCAGAAATGCATGTTCATGTTCCTTAAAAGACATGTGCAAGAAAGTTCATAGCAGCATTTTCATAGTCCCTAACACTGGATACTGCCCAAATGTCCATGTAGAGAAGAATGACTAAATAGATTAAGATATATGCATGTAATGGAATACTACATAGAGCCATAAGAACTAAAATGATGTGCAAAATATGGATGAATCTCACAAACATGATGTGGATGGAAAGAAGCCCCATAAAAGAGACTGCATGTTGTTTAATTCTATTTATATCATCTTCAAAAACAGGCAAAACTAACATATGGTGGGAAAGTGATTGCCCTTGCTGGGAATAATGAAAAAGTAGCACAAATGGTCTCTGGGATGCTGCTGCTGTTCTTTGTCTTGATCTGGGTGCTGGTTACATAGGTGCATTCACTTTCTGAAAATTCATGGAGCTGGACACTTAGGCTTTGTGCACTTTTCTGTGTGTGTGTTATAATCCCAATCCCTGGAATACCAGGAGACACAGCTTTACCTAGAATATAGAGGGCTTTGTAAATATTTCAGTCAACTCTTGGAGAAAGGCCAACATTTTCCAATTGTGGAATTTTGGTAAATGAAAGTATGTATTCATGATAGTTAGTATTGCTGAAAGTGGTTTTGTTTATAGATTGTTAAGCAAAACCACATGGGCCACAGGAAGAAAGCCCTCAGTCAGCTAGAGAAGTAGATGGAGTGTGTGCTTAAAAGCAGTTGACTCCAGGAAACCAGTGTAACATCTTTGGAAATGCATTAGCTGTTTTAGTTTGCTACACCAGGTCCTTTATGTTGTAGGTTTTATCATCTTGAAGGGAGTATGAAATTTCAATTATGGAATATGCATTCAATAAATAAATATCCAACATCTCCGTATGTGTCCCAGACATATACACCACCTCTTACCTCTTCCAGATATCCGAACACCATTATTGATGGCATTTTTGTTTTTATAAGGTTTCTCCTGGCCCACAATCATTCCACTGAAAGGTGCATACACAGTAGATCCATCAGAGCACAAGACGTCCACACCCTGGTGAGGCCTATGATTTCTAGGATGCAGATGAGAATGAAGAGACTTAGGAACTGCCCTGGAAGCTTTATTGCCCAGGAGTGTGGTGTTAGCCCTCTGTCCCTGGACCAGGGTATCAACAATTGAAGCTGCTAGAGCATATTAGGATGTCCCAGGTTTCCTCACTCTGTTTTGCCCAATTTTAACCTCCTTCCCTGAAGGTAGTAATAACCATGTTGTAAAGATGAAAGCATTTAAGATAGTATTTGGCACTTGGGAAGCCTTTAAAAATATTAGCTATTCTTATTATATGGCATTTTGGGGAAATGAAGCAATCTGTATGAGTACATTTTAATATAGACCACTTAGGAAAGAGTTGTCTTTTTATGGGAACCTATCATAAAAGAATCTTATGTTACCCTAGTCGTGCTTTTCCCTCAGCGACCCAGAAGTTATTACAAACATCATTTACTGTACATGCTATTTTAATATAGTGAGTGATGCTGCCAGTGTTTATTAAAGTACATGTAGCACAAACACAGAATGTTTCCAGGTTGTGAGGTTTCTTGAGGTTGTCGCTAACAGTCCTCACTGTTGTCAGCATGCCCGCTCTTGCCAGCCTCTTCTTTCTAATAGGCTCCTGCCTGAAAACTCAGACTCACCAGGATTGTTAGATGATGTAAAGCAACATTGAGCAGGTTCCAAGTGAAGAGCCATTAAGTTATTGTATAAGTCAAGTGCAAAATTTTAGGGTAGGAACTAACTGAGTCTTAATTTTGGCAATTAAGAGGCCATTTTTCCATATTTCCCATCTCTTAGGTATATCTCCAGGTGCTTGAGGTTACTTTGTAAGTATCCTATATGCAAATCGACCAAACAGTGGAAGGACCAGTCACTATGATGCGCACTGACCACCAGGGGGCAGACACTCAACACAGGAGCTGCCCTCTGGTGGTCAGTGTGCTCCCACAGCGGGAGTGCTGCTCAGCCAGAAGCCGGGCTCAAGGCTGCAGGTGGAAAAAGAGTGAGGGGTCCTGGAATGCAAGAGCCCCAGACTACAAGAGGAATGTCTGACTGTCGACTTAGGCCCGCTCTTTGGGGAGTGGGCCTAAGCCAGCAGGCGGACATCCCCCAAGGGGTCCTGGACTGTGAGAGGATGCAGGCCAGGCTGAGGGACCGCCCCCCCCAAGTGCATGAATGTCATGCACTGGGCCTCTAGTTATCTGTATAAGTGAGAGTTCCACTGTACTAGTAATGGGGGTGGAGGTTAATAATGCAATTGGACATGCAGCTATTTCATCATAGAGTGGTACTCCCAAGGTGATACTGTACGTTACTGGAAATTCACAAGTCTGTTCCTCATTGTCTGAAATAAATTGCCTGCTTAGGGCCACCTCCGGTGTTCAGCTCCCAGAGGCTGGGTTAGTACACTGTGGTTTGATGGAAAGTGGATCCTAAGGCCTGAATCCTAGTTCAGCTTTCACCACCTCCAGCTGTGTTTGGCAGGTCCCTTAGCCCTTTGGTGCCTCCATTCAAGTTCCTCATCTATAAAATGGGATAGTAATGCTTGATTTTCACCTTGGAAAAACCAGGTGAACTAAGTCAACATGGGAAAACACTGTTTGCTCCCCTTCCTCTTTTCCTTATTCCACGCTCTGTTCCCAATTCAGAACCCATACTTGAAGCAGAGTTCTTGGAAGTTGCTCCAAAGACAGTAATGTAACTGATTCCATCTCCGAGTTTTCCTGTTGTCAGAGGAAATGATCATGAGCACTTGAGGAAACATAAGGCAGGCACACTAAGCAAAGAGGTCAATAGGTCAAGAGCCCAGAAAGCATATGGTAAACATACCTCTGGGCAGTGTACTGGCCACAGCCATGGCTGTCACACGTCCTGATCTCATTGGAAGACTTGCCAGCACATAGATTAGCCCACGGCCCAGCCAGCACTGAAAAGGAGAAACATGAGAGGCAAATTTCCTGTCTCACATATTTCCAACCTCCATTTGCCTTGTAAGTCTTCAGTGGATTCTGAAAATCTTGTTTTTGCTATAATTTGTCCCTAACATTCTATAGTTTATGGTAAGCTCTTCCTTTAATTCCTGGTTCAGATGTAAAATTGGCTTTTTCTCTGGCCACAAAAAGTCCATTTTATGACATATAGAGGTATTTGTAAGTGTGTCTGTTGATAGGCATTAACCTCCATCATTATAGTTTCAGATTATCAACTAATAAATGGCATAAAGTGTGCTTTTCAAATTTTCTTTGTTCATTGTTTGGCATGGGGTTAAGGAAAATAATCAAACAGGTTGATTTATTTAAAGAAATAACCCCAGAAATTCTTAAGTAACTTTGAAATGTTTCCTTATTGCTAGTCCCAATAATCATATCCAAGAAAATATTTGAATTAGCAGCAGTCGCCAACCTTTCAGACCTCATGGACCACCAGTGGTCCGCGGACCACCGGTTGGCGACCGCCGCTCCAAAGGTTTCCTTAAACCAGCAGTCGCCAAACCTTTGGACCTCACGGGCCACTGGTCGGCAACTGCTGAATTAGAGAAATAAACTCTGAACTAACAAAGTGTATGTATCACTAAATAAATCTCTCTCACATTTGCAAATGGAAGAGGGAGATTCTTAAAAATATGAACATGTCAAATCAATTTAGCTTAGAGTGGAGTCAGAAGGGAAGATGGGGAAGAGAGTAGAAACAATTACAGACAGTCCTTGGGTTACGTCGCACTCGACGTACATTGTTTCGTGGTTACGTTGCCATCTCCCATTTATTTATATAAAAAAAAAAATTCCGTCATTTCGACGTATGTACATATGTGCTTTATGTTTTTTATTGTTTATTTACCACAAGTAAAGGTCAGGAATTGTTATCTTTCTTTTAAATTTTTTTTACTGTTTCACTTCATTATTGCTGTGTATATGCTCCATGTGAGTGACGTAGGTGCTTATGTAGGTGGCTTCCGAATTGTGGCGAAAATCGCCTTACGTCACACCGTAGGAACGGATCTCCGACGTAACCCGAGGACCTACTGTATATAAAAAATTATGAAGCAGTAAAACATGGAGAAGGGGGCTAGCTCTCTGTGTGTATTTTGTACAAACTTTGTAAGTGCATCTTCTCTTTAATATAGTAAGCACTTGATAAATGTTCAATTGAATTTTATTTCCAGGATTTTCAATGTTAACATTCATAGCAAGATGAAGTTAGCAAACTCAATCTTTCATTTTAAAGCAAACTAACCAAAACAGAAGCAAAACCAAGAACCTGTTAATTTGATCACTGATTTTATTTAACAGTATTTTACTATTTATTAATAATACATGTGCTATGAAGTGAAGGTACAAAATATGGCCATTAGGCATATTCTTTAATATTCTTTCAAAAGTCTTATACCTTAAAGCCACACTTCAAGTCAACACCTTGATCAAGATATAAAGCCATCACTGTGGCAACTAATATTATCCTTGGGAACTCAGGCAGAGACTAGACAATTTGTTAATTTATTCATTTTTCTCTTAGGCTGTGACTATTAAGGGAGCATTCCCCTGGTCCCAATCCCACTAATCTCTGCATCAGGAATTTTCGAAGTCATATTCTTACACAAACTTTTCATCTTCTAATTACATTCCAATTAAGTTCTAGACCACAACTGAAAGACATTTCTTAACGTCCCCCCCATTCCGCTTTTGTTTCCCTCATTAAAGAACCAGAGCATTCGGTGGACATCATTGAGAGCCCCCTGTTCTTCCTATTGCATTTTTAATATCCAGATACACAAGTTTCTGTTGTGATTGTGCTATTATTGACTTTTAAATCTATCCTTGAAATAAGTTTTTACAAATTAGCTGAGATTCTAAAATTGTGTCTGACTTACCAGTTGAAATCAAAGCAGTCAAAAGGAGGACTCCTGAAGAAAACATTTGGCTTTTATTTTCCTGTGATGCTTCTTCCTCCGATAATTATAATGGCTCCACACTCTCTTTGAAGAATATTCAAGTCTGAGTAAATATTTTCTAGCTATTTAGCCTTAGAATTCTGCATTTTTCATTTCTTTAACAGGAGACAATGGAACAAGTCAAATTCTAATATCCCATGGCTAGCTATTTGGTTCAGATGTAGGACCTATATAAAAGCTTCTGAGCTGAAGAAGCAGCTAATTTTATTGGAAATGCTGACTAAATATTAACTGAAAGTGATCAAACCAGGTGAAGAGTGACTGTCCTCAGGGCTGTGGCTTCGTGAATAACTGCAGATACAGTAAAAATACAAAAATACCCTAACTTTAGGATAATAGTTACCTCAGAGCAGAGAGGGAAACAGAGTTGTGCAGGGGTACACAGTGCTTAAACTCTAAAATAACCTATAGAAAACAGAAGATCAAAAGCAAATATAAAAAAATATTAATTTGTTAATCATTGGAGGTGGATACCTGTTGTAATGCTCTCTGTACTTTCCTGTATATTTCAAATATGTATTCGCATTTCCTTCCTTTTGTGGGAGACTGAGATTGGGGCCCCAAATCTCCACCTCTCCCTGCATCCACACCCTTGCCATGACTCTTAGGGGCAGAGGGGGTTTTCTCAACCTCTGATTTGTGGTTCGATTCTATGATGCACTTTGACCAACAGAGCGAGGCAGACATGACTGTATCTGTAGAGCCTTCATGAGGAGGACATTCCCGTACTAACCTCCCTTCTTGTGTCCTGTTGTCTTCATGAGGAGGACATTCCCGTACTAACCTACAGGGAGAGAATGACAGTCACGTGGAGCAGGCTCATCCTAGCCAAGCCTTCCAGCTGAAGCCAGACTAGCACACATCTTAATTTACATTAGAAAATTCCCAGCTCTCAGGATTATTGAACACAAATGAACTCCATTGTGTTTAAGGAAATAGTAAGGGAATTAAAGCAAATTTAAGCTAACTAACTGGACATTTGTCCAGAACGAGGCTGGCCTATGTCCATTTTGGAGTGGTATTTCAGGGCCAGAAGGCACTGTCCTTGTTCTTTGCGTATAACCAGTGAGTATAAGGAATGTCCAGATGATTGCTACCTGTTAGAGATCTTTTGATTAGAAACACTGATCTGTTAATAGACATATTTGGATAAGACCTTTATCCTCTCTGAGCTATATTTCCTCATAAATAAATATATGTGGAAGTACAATGACTTGTTGGGCTATGATTACTGAAGGGCATTTAACCTTTGCAAGATATACTCAACTATCCGCATTATAAATTGACCTCATTTCTCCCCCATGCCTTGTGCCTTGACCATTTTATTTTTCTTAGCACTTTCACCAAAGATAGAGAGGACCAGGAGGAGGCAGAGAAATTGAAATTGGCTATAATTCAAGTTGGATGGCTGTGGTGATAAGAAACGATTTTTCCTATGTGGAGACCACCTAACCTTTACTTGCCTCTTTCGGCTCAACATTCTCATCTCTTTAGAAAAGCTTGAGTTAAATTATTGTAATAGAGTTCATCCAGTAGGTTCAGCTGTTCCCTCCTGCCTTATCTCTGGTTCTCTGTAACTGTCTTCTGCTCCCAATAAGGTAGAGTTCATACTGAAATATCAAAGTGAGAAGGCTGGTCATATTCCGGGAGTTTATGAACACATTGATTTTATATGTTAATATTTTGTGTTTGTCTTAGTTCATTCAGGGTGCTGTAACAAAATACCATTGGCTGGTTTATAAACCAAAGAAATTATTTCTTATAGTTCTGGAGGCTGCAAGTCTAAGATCAGGGTATCAGCATGGTCAGGTTCTGGGCAGGGCCCTCGGTGGATTGCAGACTGCCAGCTCCTCCCTATGTCCACGCCTAGAGAAAGGGGGCAATGGAGCTCCGTGAGTCTCTTTTCTACGGGCGCTGATCCTATTCATGGGGTCTCCTCCCTCATTACCCAAAGGCCCCACCTTCTAATACCATCACACAGGCACTGGGATTTCAACATGTGATTTTTTGGGGAGACACAAACATTCCGACCATAGCAGTATTGATTGATATTAAATCATAAATAGAAAACAATGGAGAGAAACTATTTGATAGAGGGGGCAAAGTTATAGATTTGAAGGTGACCTCCTAGCATAGAGTCTTATTCTCCCCACCCCACCCCCGATTAAAAATGCAAAATTTATCAGAGATGTAATTAAATTTGAATGAATGAGCTAGAAGAAGAAAAGGTTGGGGGAACCCTGCCAACGTACATGCCTATATGGAATACAGTATATTGTTTGGGGTCATTGAATTTGTGTAGCTAACCAGGCTTAACTTTTACCACGTCTAGAAACAGGTTCAAAATTAGCTGAACTATGCTACAAGTTTAAGTACATGTCCTCAGTGTAAAGAATATAAGACAAGAAAAATTAGTCTCAATACTGGGATGAGGAGAATGCTTCTGCTGCCAAACCCCAACACAAAGCCTCGATAAGTGTTCACAGAATTGATTTGAACCAAACTACATCCCCATCAATGAGGAAGTAGCCTCTTTGCTTTCTGCTTTAATGTAGATTGACAAGCGCCAATAACTTAGCACGTATTAGATGAGAACGAGGACTAGGAAATGCATGTAGGCTTTTGGTCGTGTTAGTTGCTCCAACCCATAAGCACGACATGGACAGCCCTTCCTGAAATTCAGTCATTGGTAGTGTTTTCCAGCTAAAAGCAGAGCTAATGTTGGTTTTGTCTGACCTTTCATTTGGTGAGGGCAGCGAACTCATGAGACTGGTGTCATATGGTGACCTCTCTGTGGGTCACTTACCTCTTCCTGCCCTAGGACCCCAGGCAGAGCCTTGACCCCAGCCTAGCATCGCAGGATGGAGCCTTGTCCCCTGAGGGGCTGAACTAGAGCACATAAGGGAATCAGAGCAAGTTTATTCCTACTCATGGACTGACCTCTTCCTTGTCGTCTGTTAGAAAGTGGAATTGGATGTAAACCTGAGTCTGTTTCCAATGTCCTGTGCCTGGAATAGGCAGCTGAAGCCCTGAGAGGATCTCATTAGAGATGGCCTTGTTTGTGGGAAAATTCTGGCAGCCCATGTATCATGCTTATATGTGGGATGTGTACTGCAAAGGGATTCTGAGTCTATGTTCTGATTCTGAGTCCCTTACTCTGTTGGAGATAAATGTTAAAGATGTTTACACCCCTGGTATGGGTAGGCAGACATCTTTCCTTGCCAATTTTCTCTCCTATTCTCTTACTTCTCTCTGATAAGCCATACGCCAAATAAAACACTGGATTTTCTTCTCTTAAGGCTATGGTGTACTTTTGTTGATAATTTCCTTATTTGTTTTTAAGTAGTTATATCCTTGTTCTGATTATATAAGTAGTACTATCTTATTGCAAAAATTACCCCAAAGTTTCAAAAAGTATAAAACAACTTTTCCACAAACATTTGGGGTATATGTGTTTTTATTTTTATCTAGTGTCTCTTGTCAGGAAAACATCAGTGTTTTATTAAATAGGCACTATCTTAAACTGAGCATAACGCTAAAAGTTACATGAAAGACCAAGGATGGTTTTTTTTTATTGAGAGAGAGAAAGAGAGAGAGAGAGAGAGAGAGAGAGAGAGAGAGAGAGAGAGAGAGACGGCAATATATTGTTCCACTTTTGTATGCATTCATTGGCTGCTTCTTGTATGCGCCCTGACCACAGATCAAACCTGCAGCCTTGGCATATAAGGATGACACTCTAACCAACTGAGCTGCCCACCAGAACAAGACCAAGCGTTTTACCAGGACACTAAATAACAGAAGAGTTAAAGTGTTGAGTATGTCCAACTGCTTCCATTTGGGTAAAACTTAAGTGAAACCTTGTTGGATTTCCTTTGCTGTGAGAGGGCATGGAAATCATTTCTTTAGTCTCTTTGATCTTTGTTTGGATTGGCAGTGCGGACGCCTTTGTGAAAGGGATGAGGCCAATGTGCATTGCCGAGGGTTGTTGGCCTGGGTGACCAGACTGAACACACTGGGCTCCCTCCCTCTCTCTTCCTCAGGGTTTCGCTGGACGGAACCTACCTAGAAACACCAGGCTATGTTAAACGGCTGATTTAGGAACCACATGCATTCAGAAACCACAACCCCCAGAACCGCTCAATGAAAGTCTGCCTCATCATGCGGAGAGGGGGGAGTCTCCACTAGGTATCTTACATGACTTGAAAATGCTAAGCAAACATTTCAGTCATGCATTCTGCCTCCCCTGACACACCCCAGGAACCTAAGAAGCATTTTCTAATAAGCCACTTCCTTTCTCATTGATGGGATAATGAAGGGGGCAGATTGTGGTCCTTACAATGGAGTATTAAGTTTGATTTGTTTTAAATTAAGTTGTAAACTACTGAAGGTGAAAAGCTCTCTTTACGAAATGAAGACACATAATACAACTCTGTGTCGTGTCTAACGCAGCACTTAAAGGGTAGAAGCATGTGGCCAGGGGGTTTCTGGCTGGAGGTCCTTGAGGAAGTATATCTAAGTCAGGGTGGCAAATGTGCGGTGCCTATCCCATCATTCCTGCCTGTGTCCAAGGGAGACATCACTCATCACGTGTGCTATTCTCTCCAACTACACTCAGGCATGACCTCTCAAAGTAAGGTCACTGTAGCCTAGGAGATTTAAATTAGACATGAACTTTCCCAATAAAGGTTTTCTTTATTCTAGTAGGTACAACCATACAATTAAGGAACACTTTACATACTCTTTATTGAAAGTCATTGTCTTCAATTGAGGGTCTCTTGGTTTTAAAATCCTGCCTGAGAATGTTGTGTGGGAATGACCATTTGATGCTAAGATTCCAGAATGTACGAAGCCCCAGTCAACAGACAACCCCCGCTCTATCCAATACTTACAGACCCGCAGTGGGCATATTTCCTCACCCAGTTTCACCATCTGCTAGTACTTTGACCAACACAAAGCAAACAGCCCCGGCCACCTCGGGAAATGCAGATGACCCCAAAGCATGGTAAACAGATGTGATTGGCCCACTGAGCTTTGAACCCTGAAATTGCACCACACACAGACACAGTCAGAGCATTGCCAGAGGTTACAACACACACATTC